ACTTTCTAATTCTCTGGGCTTCAATTTCCCTGTCTACAAAATTAGTAGGTGACTGTGTCTTCACAGGTCCCTCCATGCACAGGCATCCATGTGAGCTGTCACCTCTTTGGATTTTATGATTCAATGACTGAAATAGCTTTAATTATTTATAGCTTGATTTAGATAACAACAACAAAAATAACATTGTTTGGATGACATGTTTGTTTTCCTTCAATGTTTTAGCCCGCTCAAAATTTATAAAGATTCTCTTACCCTCACTGTCACCTCTCATAGTTATGGTTTTTATTTGTTTGTTTTACTTGGTTTTATTGACTATATCTATTTTAAAAATACTACCTTCTCTGTATTTTCTAGACACATTATTTTCCATTTGGCTCGCATTTTATTTCTCTTCTATTTTAGTGAACTTATTATATGTAATTGGAAATTTGGCTTCTCACTCATTCGGAGAACAGACCTGGACTTTTTTCTGTTGTTGTTGTTTAATTAAATTTATTGGGGTGATAATGGTTAGTAAAGTTACATAGGTTTCAAGTGTATAATTCTGTAATACATCATCTATGTATCACATTCTTATTATAGGTCAGTTGATGTTGTGTTTAAACTACTTGCAATTTCTTGGCTGCAACTATTAAAAAACAAACAAACACAAAAACTGTCTTAAAAAAAGATTTTAAGAGTCTAATAATGAGGAAATGATTCTAGGGAAAACAACAACAACAACAAAAAGCAAAGCTTATAATAATAAAGAAACATATCTGAAAGGGCAATAAGAAATGAATACATCCTTTCCCATATCAGCTCAGAAGAAAATACTGATCACTTTGCTCAAGGCATATTTTTCTCTCTCCTTCTGCCTCCTTACCTAAACCCTCCTCTCCTTTTAGGATCTGGCCTGTTTCAGTTTCCGTATTAATCTTCTCATGAAACTTTCAGTCTCTGCTGATTCTTTTCCCCATAAATTCCTCTGGTTTCCTACCATCTCTTCCAAAAACAAACTGAGCATTTGTGTAAAAGCAGCAGTTTATTTCGCTCTCAGAGTGAAACTAGAAATCAATCTAAAATGGATGAAACAGACCATCTAGAAAAAGTGAACATTGTAAGGCAAAGTAAGTAAATGACGACATTTCAGGATACCAGTGTCCTAGTCAAGTTGCCCCTCAGAAGGTAAAACTGAAACTCACTTATAACCAGAAAGATGAAGCCCATTGACTGAGCTAAGTAAATGTTCCTCAACCAACATATTGATTATTTTAATATATCTTTGGTTCTACATTATTAATGACTTAAAGCCTGCTCCTTGCTTTCTTTATGACTAATTTCACAATCACATCAACTAGTTGACTAGTTAAGTAACATTTTCTCTCTCTTTTTTTTTTTTGCAGTCTTTACAACCCTCTAGGCTTCACTACTCCTGTCTGTAAAATTAGTGGGTTGACTAGGCAGAGTCTGAGCTTAGAATGGACCTGTGGATCAGCCAGCTTTCTCTCTCTCCTGGCCTTGTGCTTCAAACCTGTGCTTCCCTACTCAATCAGTTATCACCCTAACTATCAGACAGTATATTATATTTTGTCATTGTTTTGTGCTTATTACTTTGTGGTGCTAGTGCAGCCCACATAATGTTGACAGAGAAATGATTAGTAAGACACTTGTTAGCCTAGAGGATGAGGTGGGGACTTTAGATGACAAGAGGACATGTCATGTTCTCTCTAATGGGGAACCTTTTTTTGTTTCTTTCAGTTCAGATGCCAAGGAGAAAGTGAGTGTACCAAGTAAAGAGATTGTAGAATGTTCTCCCAGCAGCTCTGGTGTTAGCGTCTTGATTGTGGGAGGGTACTCAGCCTCCAGAGGAAAAATAGGTCCTGAGTACTTGGGCTGTAGAGACATTTTCCAAATATTCAGAGGTATTCTATGAAAGGAGAGTAGTTTGCTTCCATAAGTTTAGAAAATGTTGTAAACTATGCCCATCAGTATTGGAGATTTTCATTGTTGTATATATTACAGAGAATCCTGACAATAGGAAAACTTTAATTTGGTCCAAAAATCTCAAATTTCCCAAACTTGGAAAAGTGGGAACATTTCAGAGTATCAAAAAATCCCAATAAAGCAAATATTATCTGACAAACATACAATAACTAGAAACTCATCTTTATCAAACACATAAGCAAAGTCTAAGGGTATATTCAGGTATAGGAAGAATGACTTACTAAAATTCTATAAAATGTCCAAATAGATTCTAAAAGAAGGTCACAACTGGCACTCTATATTTTCTCCAAGGTGGAGGAAGTGCTTTTTTTCTGAAGCATTAGAACCACTGTTTCCACAATCTATTTGTGTCAAAATGACCCAGGGTGCCTTGGCCCCAATCCAGGCCTACTAATTCTGAATCTCTGTGCCCAGGGGGAACATTTTTGACAAAGTCTGTATTTGATTTTCATGCACAATTAAGTTGGAAAACCATTGGTCCATATGACAGTGCAGCGCCACTTGATAAATGGCCAAGAAGCCAGTTAAAATCACGTGCAGGCAACTGAAATAATGTTTAAAAGGGTAGTTACATATTTAGATTAGCCTAAAAATGTTGTTTTAACTCATATTGTATCTGAAATAGTACAGTGATTGAAAGAATATGCTGATGGTGTTCAGAGGAATGGCATGGAAAGGGTGGGCAGCTCACACACATGTGATGAGAGTGGATATACCTGAGCACACTGATTCACAAACACTGGCTCTGATCAAACACATTTAATTGAAATTTAGTAACTTGTAGATAGTGGCAGAATTAGAGTTATGGGATTTTTTTTTCTCTAATGTTTTTTTTTATTACTTGGTAATTATGAGGTTAATACATATTTTGAAGTAACTCATGGAAGACAAGAATAGAAACCAAAATTGGTCATCTTTAACTTCACTCCTACTTTCTTCATCTCCATTTCCTCAATACGACACATACACATTCGATGGAGAAGTAGTTTTAAAGTAACAAAGCAAAAGAACTTCCCTGGTTGGGAACACTTGAAATCACCTCTGAGTTGTGATTTTGTATTGTCTTATGGAAAGTTTAACAGTGACTAATGCAAAGGGACTTTTTTGAGGCGACTTGGATAGAGAAGGAACAATAGCTCTGTCACACAGACCAACTTTATTTCCTTCTCAAACTTCTAAATAGTACAGTGATTCCAATCTTGCACATTGGAACTTGGTATTATCTGGGTTAATCTTTTGCTGCGTGGGTCATGTATGCTATTTGAATGTGTCTTTTAGCCCTCCTTGAAAGCATTGCCAGCAATGGGTTTTAAGCATCATAGGACAGTCCTATGCCAGCACAGGCACACATTTGAGTTCACAGGTAACCTGTTACTGGAGTCTGAACCAAGTTCTGATTCCAGCGCCCACAATCTCAGTCTGCCACACTGACTTCCAAAAATGAATAAAGTATGATCACTGCCCTTGATAGATTCTCTATTCAGCTTGGGAGGCAGGTGTGTAAACAAAATGATTGCTGCAGAAAATTTAATGGAGAACTAAGGAAGATGATGCTAATGCTACCTGGGCATGTCAGGGAAGATTTCACATAAGAGGTGGTATTTGTAATGAGTGTTTCCTTGAAATTCATGAAGGAAGACAGGCAGAGGGGCTTTCATATATGAAGTAACATACTTTCGCTGGTAGCTAAAAAATTAGCTCTCTCACCCTTCTTTCACAGCCATTTTTGGTGTTACCAATTCCTCGTGTTCTCCTAACAATTTTCCTGTGCCTGTTTTAGCACCTATCCTATATAATAATTAGTTTACATGTCTGTTTTTCCCTCCATACCTAGAGCTCTTTGACTAAAGGTCCCTGACAACTTATTTATCTTTGTGCACCCAGCACAGTTCCTCATAAAGACTAGGCATTAATAAATATTTGCTGAACCAATCAAATAATGAGAGCAGGAATATTTTCTGCAGTTGTTGATATTTTAAAATTGATATATTTCTAAAGAGTTTTGTTAAATAAAAAACATTTTGTATAGTAATGGAACATACTACTAAGTGATCTAACATACAATCATGTTATATATACAAAACCATCCCTATATTATGTTTTGTTGAAATCCAAATTCCATTAGCTCTGCTTTAAATAGCTCATTCATTCATTCATTCATTCATTCTTACAACAAATATTTATTGAGCGCCTAGCATATGCCATCCATTGTCCTAGACACTAGGCATCTTATTGAGCGCCTAGCATATGCCATCCATTGTCCTAGACACTAGGCATCTGATGATGTCAAAATACATACACAGTCCCTGCCCTTGAAATAAAAGAGATATTGGGGAAGACACACATTGCCCAAATAATCACAAAAGTAAATATATACTCTTAAATGCTAATAAATACTAGGAAGGAAAGATGCATAGAAACAAACAGAAACAAAAAACAGACTTCATCTAGGGTTGGGCTAAGAAAATGCCATTTGAGTGTGATCTAAATAAGGAAGTAAGTGTCCAAAGGGCTGAACGGGGGTATGGGTAGAGATTTCTAGGTAGAGAAAATAGGATATACACAGGCCCTGTGGAGGATGGAGTAGGGCAGGTGTAAAGAACTGAAAGAAAATCAGAATGACTATAGTTACTAGACAGTAGTAGAATGGTAGTGATAGGGACAGTGTTCAGGAAGGGGCGATTGTAGGGTAGGGTGATAGGAGATAAAGCTGGAAAGACTGGTTTGGGGTAGACCATCAGGGCCGGAAAGATTATCATAGAATTCTGGTCTTTGCCCTAAGAGCAATGGGAAGCCATTGAGGACAGAGGTAGGTGGGTAGCATGTTGAAACTTCACTTTAGCTCTGTTGAGGGGAAGGGTGGGGACATGTACAACAAGAGGAGATGCAGGGAGACCCTGGAGGAAGCTGGTAGTAATCCAAATAGGAGATGTGGGCTTTAGTAAAGGTTGGAGGGAGTGCCCTTTGTAGGATTAACTCAAAGAAAAGTCATATATTAAAACATAGGTACTTGCCTAATCCTTTTAAGATTTTCTTTTCCAATTTTTGCTCTTTATTGCTGACAGGCTCCTTGGCTGTGGGTGGCTCTTCGGAAGCCACAGGTTCTCGCTCAGTCTCTTCCGCGGCCTCCTCACAGTCCCCATCCTCGTTGTCGGCTGGTTCTGTGTTCTCAGGCGGCTCGTTGGCCTTGCTGGGGCTCTCCTTCCCTGCTGTGCCAGCAGCAGGTCCATATGTGTTAATGATGTCTTCCAGTTGTCGATTCAACTCTTCAGAGATGTCATGAGCTCCTGTTTCAGGCTGCACGTCTGCCTCTTTCAGAGGTGCTTGGACAGAGATTGAAGAGGCCTGATCACATGGCTTCTCCAGGCCATTTTGACTGGGTACCGATGAACTGTCCCCCGGAGGTGTTGACTGTGGCTCTCCCGAGAGCTGTGCAGAGTGATTCACCTCCATGCTGGGAGTAATACCTAGTGGTAAGCACAGTCAGGTTTTATGCAGGTAACCTAGTTACATGTAAATGGTAAGGATATCTCCAAATGGGCGCCTACTACTTACGGTTTCTAACATAGAACGAATGTACTTTCGCAAAGATCTTACAATTAGGTAGGTAGGAACAGTGGGAAGCCATTTTTTCCAAATCAAGTCACCCTATTAGCATATTTTGGTTTTGGTCTTTAAATTCCAGTAGTATCTCCTATTATTGACATTAGCAGAGTAATTCAAGGTATTGTTTTTTTTATGGCCCTATCTGTCATTTTGCTTAGAATCGCCAACTTGTGTTACCATTCTCTTATATAATTCTATGTAGATTTATAATCACTGGAAGTACATGGATGTATATATTTAGAATATTTAAATTTTAAATAGTGTTATTTTTCTCAAAGTTAAAATATTTAATACAAGAGTCACTAAACTTACTAAAATCCTTCATAATAATAATGTCCCTAATTTCTATTTTAATCTGTTGTATAATGAAGATTTGATTAATATGAGTACATTGATATAAATAAATTATTATACTGGATATAGGAAATGCTTTCTTGCTTTTCTGGTACTTTCCTTTTCCCAGATGAGCAACATGTAATAATTAATGATGAGAATACTTTTTTTGAGGTTCTAACTAGCATCACTTTTGGAATAAGACAGAGAATGAGGGAAGGTATAAATTAACAAACAAACTGGCATGGAAACATGGTGATACTCATAATAATAATTCTTTGAATTTCTATAATACATTTTTGTTCCAATATAAAAACTGACTTTCTTTTAGGAAAAAAACAACAACAGATTAGAACTTTCTCTTTTTGGTCAAGAAGCTCTAGGCTAAGTTGATAATTTTTAAGGAATAGCCGTGTTTAATGAACAACGAGGAAATGAATTAGGGAAATTATCCAGGTATAATACGGGTTCTTTGGAAATACGGGGCAAGGAATGAGCTGAGGCAAGGGTTCCAGGGTTTCTGGCTGGAAACCCCATTTCTGGGGTTGCCAGAGATTTGGCTTAGGCCTTTAGGTTGTGGTGCATTTCCTTTGTAAATGATGTTTAGTGGTGATGGTGCTAATTAGCAGGGTAAACATATGACCAGATCCTCAGAATGCACAGGTTTTGCTGCTGTGGAGGTGTGAAAGCGAAAACACAAGCACGCTTCTCTGTGCATTGCACAGCTTCCTCCTCTTGTTCTCAGGGCAGTAGATGTCAAGTGCGTGGCCGCCAACAAGAATGGAAAATGCAATGTACAGATACTGCCACCCACTTGTGGCCCTCACCAAGTGCACATTAACTTAGAAGGAATTACTTTTTTTCCTCCCTCATTTTAATCCACTAACTTTATTATCAAATGATACAATAAACAGCTTCATTGTCTTCATCACTGGAATTTCTTTATCCTGACCCCTACCTACTTCTTGGGCACAGTCATCTATATATAACTAATGCCTCCCCTGAACTTGGAGAAAGACACATGGCACCTGCTTCCAGCCAGAAGCTATTTTAAGCTCTTCTAAAAGGAGACATGGCATTTAGCACTTTATCCTTGAAAATCAAGGGAAGAGAGTGCGTTTTAATACAAATTGAAAACAGTAAACATTTACTGGCATAAATCCACATTGTGGGTTTTAAAGTGTTAAGAAGTGTTCTTAGGATGAAATAAAATCTCAAGTAAACCAAACTTCAAAGCGATGAATTTAAAAACTGACTGTCCATAGGAGTTTTAGTGTGGTTAGTTTAAATGCAAGCATTTTATTTGTATTAGCTTTATTCTTCATTCCTCAGAGGCCATAATCATTGATGGTTTTATATTAATCCCACGGACAGCCTTTAAACTCACATTCCACAATTACTTTAAAGCAGAATAACCGAGTCATTGTAAACCACAGGAAAACTCAATTCCTAAACGTAGCCTCAAGATAAATCAACAAGAGGAAAAAAAAAAAAAAGACAAAGTCAAAGAACTCTGTTACTTTTAAATTGTCTCTTCTAGATTAATTATACAGCAAAAATTATTTCTAAATTTTATCTTCCGTAAACTTTATTGCCTGCCCTTTTCCTCCTCTGAGAGAAAATTTATCACTTGTACTGGCAGCCCCAGTAGATTATCACACACACATCCCTTCCTGAGCAACACATTTTAATTATAAATAAAACAATGGAAAGTTCTTGAACAGCTCACTGGCAATCTTAAAGTTGCAAGTTTTGAACACCACGAACCGCACCCCACATCTTCTCACAGGGCCTAGGGGAGTGTTTGTCATACTCACCAGAAGGCGAGGAGCTAAGCAGAAAGAGAAAGGAGAGGCAAGGGGCAGCAAAAAGCTAGTCAACACAGCAGCAACAGCAGGAGACAGGCAGGCGGCTGTGATCTTACAAGGGGCCCTGAGAAACCAAATACACACACACACACACACACACACACACACACACACACACACACACACACACACACACACACAGGGCAACCGAGCACGGAGGGAGGAGGGGAAAGGGACACCGTATGACACAGCAGAGAGAAATACACCCAAGCTTCAGTAGCTGTTGCCAGGGTCAATGTCTTAGAAAAGGGAAGCAGCTGATAGATCTGATCAGACTCCATCTTTTTTCCTTTCATAAAACTTAGGCTCTCAGTACACAGACCTGTGGCTAGCGCAATTTTTCACCAGTGTTGTTCTTTTAGGCAGAAGTTGGTTTTTCTTACTTCTTGGGTTATTTCCAGTGTGGCCTATGATTCATGTCTCTTTTCCCCCTGCTTATGCTAACCTAGTTAGTGTCAGATTTCTTATAGGAATCATGGAAAAAGAAAAAAAAACAACAATGGCATAACAAAAAAGAGGTGGGAGAACTACTTTAGTTCCGATGTCATTGTTTGGTGTATTTATAAATTTTGAATTAGAAACTTAGACGGCTGTCTTGGCAGTGGGCTGTGTCATCTTCAGGCACACGGTAATTGGCGTGACCTCAGATCCCTCGTCCGACTTGGGTAACTGCCTTCACATCTCAGATAAGCCCTTGGGGAAGTAATGCACTTTTTCTTCCTTAGTTGGCGGCTTTCCTACCTTCTGCAGCAGCATTTCCAGGTCTTCGCCGCCTTTTCCAAACCCTCAACCTGCTCCTTAATCCCTCAGAAAAAGAACGCCTTCGTCATTCACCATAAAATGCTTCTCTTAACCTATATCCATTCCCCTTGTCTTTCTATTTCTGGAGAATGTGTTCCCATACTTCTCCAAAGTGGATTCCTCCATCAGAGTTTCTGCTTTGGCGGCTGGCTGGGCATTGTGACACCCCTGTGGAGACAGAATAATGCCACCCCAAGAAGTCCAAATCCTAACCCCAGGAACCTGTGAATATATTACTTACTTTATATGGTGAAGGGGACTTTGCAGATGTGATTAAATTAGGGATTTTTGAGATGGAGCGATGATCAGAATTATCTGGTTGGGCCCAATGTGATCACAAGGGTCCTTATAAATAAAAAAGGGAGGTGGGAGGGGAGGGGAAGGGGATCAGAGTCAAATAAAGAGATCCGATGACTCAAGCAGAGGTCAGAGTAATGTGAGGCCACAAACCAAGGGGTGAGAGAAGTCTTTAGAAGCTGGGAAAGGCAAGGAAACCCATTATTCTCTAGATCCCCGAAGAAGGAGTGTGATTCTCTTGATACCTGGTTTTAGCTGTGAACTCATTTTTTATTTCTGCCTTCTAGCACTGTAAAATAATAAATTTGCATTGTTTTTAAGCCACTAGATTTATGGTAAATTGTTATAATAGCAAGGCAAAACTAAAATGTCCTACCTGCAAACTTTTCCCTACCACTTTCTCCGTGTTCAGGGGAGGGATAAGTTATATAGATGAACATACCCAACGTGGAGAG